CGTCTCCTCGGTGTCGAAGTCCCACACCTTCAGGCCGGACCCGCTGCCGTAGGGACGCGGGACCTCGGTGTCCTCGGGCGCGTACGTGGCGGAACACGGCGTTCTCCGGCTGGGCGCGTGCACGGCCCCCGACACCTGCCTGCGCGCCTGCCGGCCCTGCGCTCCCGCTTCTATTGGCGCCACAGCCCCGGCTCCAGGCGCTCCCAGGCCCAGTCCAGCAGGGAGGTCGGGAGGCAGCGTGGGGCGCGGTAGCAGCCAAAGAACTTGAGGTAGAAGGGGCTGCACTCGAGCAACCAAGGGAAACTGCAGGTGGCCCTGGAGCTCGCAGTCCAAGCACTAACTGCAGGAAACCGGCTCTGGAGCCGCTGCCCTCCCGGCCGGCCCGTGCGCCCTGCTGTGGCTGAAGCCGCTCGTTCTCCCCCAGCCCACAGCAGCCCTGCCGATCGCGGTGGAGGGGTTCCGACAAGAGCTGGGTGCTGACGTCCCAGCCGTCCCCCAGGCTCACCAGGACCGGGGAGCCTGAGTCCAGGAGCCGCGCCGCCAGCACCGACACCGGCGGCGGCCTGTGGGTCTCATCAGCCCCTCAGTCCTGCGGCGAGTGCGGACAGGAGGCGGGGCCGGCTCCGCGGCAGGGCAGCCGCGACCGAGCCTTCAGCAGCGTTTTGAAGCTGGTCTTCACCTGCCGCGCCTCCAGGACCTTCATGGGTACCAGTTCCCACTGCTGCACACTCTTGAGATGGGCTTTGTCCCCAGTGATATAGAGGCTGTTCGCTGGGGCGCAGAAAGCCCCCGGCTGTGTGTGTGTGCGTGTGCGTGTGTGTGTGTGTGTGTGTGTGTTCGCGCGCTCGCGCTGGGGCATTGGCCAGGGAGGGGGTGAGGGCAGGATTGTCACTGCTCTCGTCAATGTCACCCCCCCCCCCCCGCGCTGCGCCCACTGCCGAGACACTGCCCCATTTACCTATGGGCATGGTCCCTCTGGAGGCCCAGACCACCACCGGACTGGACAGCGTGGTGACTCTGGCTCTGGGGCTGGGTACGTGGCTGCCCATATGGGTAAAGGAGAAGCGGCTTGGGGTGTGGCATCCCAACACACTTGTCATCTGGGGCAAATCTTGAAGTGGACTGAAATTCGTTATAGTCTTAAGAGAATTTGAATTCAAAAACCCAGTTATTCCCAAAGGTTTATGTTTATATAAGGAACATATAATGAACACCATGTCCTTACCTACATTAATAATTGTTCATTTTGCCATATTTGCTTTTCTCCCTCTGCTTAAGTATTTTGAGGTAAATTGTAGACATTACAGGTAATACCGTTGAATACTTCAGTACTCTGAAAAATAAGGACATTTTCCTATGCAACTACAATATCATTGTTGAACTCAACAGAAGAGAAAAATCAGAGGGAATCTGTGTCCATATAACTTATCCAATAGATAATAAATTTTCAAATTAAAAATAAACTGATTGGGATCTTTAATACTTAAAATTGACGAGAAAGCTATGGGATCTGCCCAAGGTATCACTAAAGGACAGGAAAGAAGGATTCTTTCAAGAACCCAGTTGAAAGTACAGATTGGGGTGGAGGGGTGGACATTTCATTTTAATGCCCAGCTAAGTTAGGGCCGGTGTGAGTGGGACTTTCATCCAGTCAATACTGATAGCATGGTAGGCATGGAAAGCCAATCAAATCCAAAACAAGTGTCTATTACTTTGAAGGAATATTTTGTTCTCTCCATCATTGAGAGGGTTCACTGTAATCAGTTTGCCACCAGGTAACTGCTGTTCCCACTGGATATATTACATCATACCTAGGGTTTAGAATTGGTTGGTGACATCCACAGGGCAGATCAACTTGTCCACTTATGTACTGAAACCGACTGGGGTTAGTGAAGATTCATATGGCACACACGTGTTTTTAGACTTGGGTCTATCTACATACCAGCTAGTTCCCTCAATCTTTTTGTTAACAATTCTCTAATTCTTACCCTTAATATCCTTCTCCTCCCTTTTCTTCTCCTCCTTCTCCTCCCCTCGATGACCTCCTCCTCCGTCATATTTTTAAAGCTTATGACATAACCCACAGAAGAGTCAATATCCCAATATACCTGTTCCCAGATTCAGGTAACACTCAATCTTTTTAGTCTTGTAATCAGCATTTCTTGTTGTCTGAGCTGAGTGGTGTTTTAAGTATTTTCAGCAGAGATTCCCAATTCTAAGTAAAAAATAATCCGTTTTGTCCCAGGACAGTCATCAGGGTACTGCTATAGGGGAATTTCCCTCCAAACAGACAAGTGGGAGCCAGTGTTTCTCAGAGCTGTTTAACTACAGGGAAATCCAATGCATTATGCACTTGATTCCAGGGTGGAGGCTGCCTGGGCGCTATACTTGACCTACTTAATGAACACACAGGATCCAGTTAGAGAGCCTAATCAACTGTCAGTGACTCATCTGACAGTTTCATGTAAACAGAAACGGTTTACTTGTCACAGGTGGGCATCCAAAATGCAAGAGAAAAACCATATTTGAACGGTATTCCAGTTAAAGAAAAGCTAAAAATTTACAGTCATTATATACTTTATATATACATTATATGCTTTGGGAAAGTTTGTACTGAGGGCTTTGGGAGTGTGTTGAAGAAAGTGATCAAGATTTCCAGCTTATTTTCTCCATGCTGGTACTCTTGATGATTATGCACTTATTGGATATTTAGAATAAGTTAAAATAAAAAATGAAATGACCTTATTTAGTGCCCTCAGATGGCTAGTTTGAGGGAAACAACCACAGAAATTTACAAAGCTATGGTTTGTGAGTTTAAAACACTGCATCAAATTTACATTAACATGCAAGACTTTCCAACTTTCCAACTGCTGTGATAAAATAATAAGGTTGTTAGAAACAAAACATAGTTTGTGCAAAACCATCATTCTGGTTGGCATGATAAAATTGATGGATGACTTACTACTAATAATTATGGTCTTTTGTATCAGTAAGGTTAATTTAGTTGGCTTGGGACCGATTTTGTATTCCTGCTAAAAATGCAAGAGACTTCTCTATCAAAAAAATGAAGGAAGGAAAGGGGGAACAAAGCAAAGAAGGAAAGCAAAAGGAAGGAAGGAAAGAAGGAAGGAAGGGAGGAAGGATGAAGGTCTACCGATATCTAGGGCCTACACAAATAAATCGCAGTACATGTGCTTGATGTACTATTACGCAGCTACCAAAGGAGTTAGACATACATGAGCAATAAAGATGTCTAAGGTACGTGAGCGGAAAACGGTAAAGTAAGTGGAGAAAAAACTAAATGTAAAATAGCTTCATGCCTGTCTATCTAGCTGTATGAGAGAGAGATGGAATTACACGCGCGAACCCCCAGCTAACCGTGACAGGGGCCACCTCAGGGAGGTGGGACGAAGGAGGGACAGGATGGGATTTCACCTTTTGCTTTATTAATTTTGGCACTGCTTGAGATTAAAAAAAAAAAAATCACAGGTAATGTATTCTTGTTAAAAAAAAAAAAAAAAAAAAAAAAGCATTTTCAAGTTAATGGCCTCGGCTGCAGGCGTTCCTTCCGTTTCCCGGGCGCGAAATTCCAACCACGTGCTCCGCCGCGGGAGGCGGAAGACGAGACGCGGGATCCTAGAGCGGCCCGGAAGTGCTCCTGCCCCGAGCGCCCCGAGCGGCGGGCGGCCTCCTCGCTGCGGCGCATTGTTCGGGCTGGCGCGCTCCCGCCGACGCCTCGCGGGGCTCTCGCTTCCTGGCCATGTTCGGTTCTCGTGAGTCGGCGCTGGGAGCCCTGGGCGTGCGGGCGTGGCGGGGAGAGGGCCGTGGAAGGGAAGCCTTCCCCGCAAAGGGCGCGTCGTCCCGGCTTGGGGACGTCGCGCGGGCAGGGTCTGGGAGGACCGCGGGGCTGCAGGGTCGCCCTCTGGAGTAGCGGCCGCAGGTCTGACTGGGCAGGAGACGCCTGGAGTCTGACAGCCTCGGGGACCGGGAGGGTAAGCACAGGGTAGAACGTTCAGTCCCTCAGCTTTTGGTTCTGAGAGCGGGTTAAGCGGCTGTGAGCGGACTGGCTTTTGGGTGCAGGATCCTGGAGCCCTGGCGCGCGCGCACTCACAGGGAGCCTGTTGGAGATGCGTGCTGCGGGACTCCCTGTCCTTCCTGTCACCCACCCCTGTCCCCAGGTGCCCATTCCCTGTCCCTTAGCTCCAGGATCCTGGAGCCCTGGCGCGCGCGCGCACTCACGGGGAGCCTGTTGGAGATGCGTGCTCCTGGGCTCCCTGTCCTGTTCCCACCTCCGTGCCCAGGGCCCACTCCCCGCGTGTCCACCACAGCGCCTGTCCAGCGGGAATTCAGCTTCGGGGCTGCCCTTGCTGACATTGTGCAGACCCACAGGCTTCCTGGGTCGCAGGCACTACCTGGGCTTCTGTGGATTCTGAGGACTGTCCTCACAAAGAACTTGACCTTAGGCAACGTACTTAACTTCCCCTGACCTCCCTTTTCTATCTCCTGAAACAGCGGTTGTTAAAAAAACTTCAGAGGGTCATGTGAGCATTAACCGAGGTCTGCTATTGAAAGCATGAGTCCCATGAATATAAGTTCATTCATTGATCAAAGACAAGAAAACTTTGTCTAATTTCACTTTTACATAAGGAGTGAGCTTTTTAACCATTCCGAGTGAACTGTTTGGCCCCTGATTTCTCCATGAGCATTCTCCGTTGCTGTTTCTTCACTTTGAGAGACTGGGATTGAAAGAAGATAAGAAATTGGCTGAAGATCACACAATTAGTAAATGTTAGAGCCAGAATAAAACCCAGTTCTGAGTGACTTGAAAGCGCATGCTTTTTGCACATTACGCTCTTATATTCCCCATTCTTCCCATCCTTTGGTCCCCAAGTGACTTTACTTTCAGTGAAGAGCCCTGGGACCTGTGACGGTTGCTTGTATAATCAGGGCCCATCATTAGTTATTGCCATATTTCTATGTAAACGGTGGTTTTTACTTCAAAGGTGTTTCTAAAACAGCTCCAGCTGGAGGGTGCTTTTTAAATTCTTCAAGGACAAGATGAATACAGACTCGAAGGAGGTTTTCCCCTTGGATGGGCAAGCTCCTGAAGTTTGGGAAGAACTTCTGACAGTGAAAGTGGAGATGGAAAGTCGTGTCCGAACACAGGAGTCCAGGCTGAAACCTAGTAATCTTCTGGGGAGGGAAATTTTCCGAAGGCGCTTTCGACAGCTGTGCTACCAGGAGACCCCTGGACCCAGGGAGGCCCTCACCCGACTCCAGGAACTCTGCCGCCAGTGGTTGAGGCCACATGTGAGCACAAAGGAGCAGATCGTGGAGCTGCTGGTGCTGGAGCAGTTCCTGACCATCCTGCCCGAGGAGCTGCAGGCCTGGGTGCGGGAGCATAGCCCAGAGAGTGGGGAAGAGGCTGTGGTTTTGCTGGAGGATCTGGAGAGAGAGCTCGATGAGCCACAACATGAGGTAGGAAGGGAGATCGGCCAGGAAAAAGTATATGTGCATGACCCTTGAATCTGTTGTTTTGTATCTCCTTGACTAACTCTAACCCTGCTTCCTGGTACTTTCCAGGAAGTCAAATCTCATGTCTTTGTTCCCAGGTCGTAGCCCACACACAGGGGCAAGAAGTCCTCTCCGAAGAAGTGCCTGTGGGGGCGCCGACTCCACTGAGCCTCCAGTCCCGGCCTCAGGAGTCCCAGCTCACCTGTGACACTGCTCAGCAGCCCCACGCTGTTGGAGAGACAGGTGAGGGACAGGATTTTACTGGTGCTGAGCAGCCCCCCACCACCAAGCAAAAACAAATAAAAAGCCCAGACCCAAGGAGCCAGGTGATCAGAAGTCCCTTTGCCAGGTAAAGCAACACTCCATGTTTCTGGTGCACAGTGTGCTCACTGTGTCCCCTTACCTCACGCTCAGGCTCCCCTGCCCAGTCCCATCCTGGAGGCTCTCTGGTCTCCTGGCACATGGCAGCTCAGGGAGGCCTGCAGGAATCACTGTGGGGAGAAGCTTTAGAGAATCGCTGTATAGACAGGATCAGATCCTGGCTTTCCCTCTGGAAGCTGCTTGTACGTGGGCAGGTCACTTAACCATTTGCTCTCAGTTCCCTCATCTCCAGAGTGGGGTTGATCATAGCATCGCCTTGGTCTGCTCGGGCACTCGTAATAGACTAGCACATACCTAGGGGCTTACATGGCAGACATTTATCTTCTCACAGTTCTGGAGGCTGATGTCCAAGATCACGGTGCCTGCAGGGCAGGCTGTTGGTGAGACCTGTCTTCCTGGCTTGGTGACGGCCACCTTCTTGTTTTGTTTCACAGGTGCCTTTCTCTGGGCATGTGTCTCTTGGGGTGGGGGAGGGGAGAAGTGAAGGAGTGAGAGAGGGAAAGAGCAGGAGGGAGAGAAAGCTCTGGTGTTTCTTTCCCTTTTAAGGACATCAATGCTGTTGGATTAGGGCCCTGAATTACCTGAATTATTTTCGTAAAAGCCCCTAGTTCTAAATACAGTCAGGGCTTCATCACATGACTGGGCAGAAGAAAGCTGACACAACTGTCAAGCAAGTGCAAACCACAGAAGGGGGTTGTAGCACTGAACGCGACCAGCCGACGGAAGGCTCTGGGCAGGCCGGCCCTCGGCCGCCCTTGCCAGTCTGGCTGGTGCTGCAGGGGAACGCCATAAGCACGCTCCGTGGCTGGCCAACTGGATGCGGGAGTCCAGTGGAACCAGCCTCTGCCGCTCCCTGGCCCAGCACGTCGTGGTAGGTGCCGTCCTGGGCACATGGGGCCAAGCCAGCTGCCTTCCCGTCTTGGCCGTCCCCACCGCAGCTTCCATCTGATTTCTCACGCCGGACATCGTCACCTCTTACTGAGGCTTGGCTGTCCAGCGGTCCGTGTGCAGTGTGCCTTCTGGTCCTGTTTTCTCGCCATCCCCGTGTGGAGCAAAGCCGTGCTTCCCTTGCTGCGCTGCCTCCTGCCTGTTTATTCCATCTGCCCTGGCGGTCATATGGTTATCCCAGATTTCTGCCATTTGGAACACATCTCTTGACTTATATTAAAAAGATATTTTTGAGTGACTTCTGTTACTCAGCAGACCTTCCTCTGGCTCCTCTGAACTCATCTGATTGAAAGTCCTTTGGTTTCTGGGTGCCTGGGTGGCTCAGTCCGTTAAGTGTCCATTCTTTATTTCTGCTCAGGTCATGATCTCAGGGCTCCATGCTCCATGGGGAGTCTGCTGGAGATTTTCTCTCCTTTTCCCTCTGACCCTTCCCACACTTGTGCCCTCTCTCTATATATAAAATAAATATGTCTTTAAAAAAAATCCTTTGGTTTCATTTTCCTCTTTCATGAACATCTTTGTAGTCTGTTCTTTTGTTTCTTCCTCATCTTCCTGTGAACTTGTGCTTTTTATTTTCCAGCCATCTTTTCCTTTCTTCAGCCTTCTGAACAGCATCTAGAACCTTACTGGGAGCCCCTTCCTTCAGGAAGCCCATCTGAGCAAGTCCTTCCTCCTGTCTGTTCATCACTCCTCCCTCCATCCAGTTATCCATTAAGCATTTCCTTTGGCCACAGGAGAGTGTCCTGAGGGCATCTACAAATCAGAGTTATCTTACAGGACTATCATTGCACATCTGTGTCTTCAGGAAAAGCCAGTTTTGCAAAGCCACACAGTGTTTGAGATCAAAAGGACTGAATCCAAGTTCCAGCTCTTCATTTTTTTTTAACTAAGCAACATGTAAGGTTACTTTGTATCACTGAATTTGAGTTCCTTTTAGAACTGCTGATGGTAAAAAAATCCAAATAATATAGCAGTTTATATAGTAGAACATGAAAGTTCTCCAAATTTTATTCCCCAGGACTAACCACTCTTGTCAAATTGCTGTGTATTTTCCAGACTTTCTCTGCATACATGCAGAGTCTGTCATGCTATGTGTTTACCTTTTATTTGTTATTCACTTCTTTCAGGAGGTGGGGTAATAACCTCAGGGGGTTTTGTGGTGTGTTAGTTTGAAAACAGTTGTGACAGTGCTTTATGAGTCACCGGAGACTGTGTAAATGGTAATAGAAGGTGAGAAGTGTCTTTGTTTTTATATTCTACGCAGTTCTCTTGTACGTTTCAAATGTAAGTGTGAAGTCAGAAGGGCGGTACTGATCCCACTCGTGGCCGTTACTTCTCTGCAGATGCATTTCTGTTTTCCAGACCTGTTGTCATCCCCCAGCCAAAAGGAGCAGGAAAACACGGTCTAGCAACAGAGGAGTCCGCAGAGGCTCCTGTTCGGGTGTGTGAGGGACAGTAGTCAGATGTGGGAGAAAGAGCTGGATGTTTTGGTAAAAAGAGGAGGGCTGGAGGCTGATCTTGGCTCTCTGGTTTGGAAGGAAGAAATCTGTTGGTGCACAGGCTCCTTGAGAGCTTCCCAGGAGTGAGCTGAAACCAGCCCCCTCCTGTGGGGGCCAGGGAGAGACCAAAGACAGCGGCAGGTGGTGGTTTTAATAAGCAAAGGAGGCTTACACGGGAGGCTCTTGTGGGTAACAGCAGTATGAGTAGCTCTCCACACCCATCCTAAAAGTTTCGGCAGAGTCCTTATCTGGCTTCAGTCTTGTGTACTATCCAGATGGTGTTGTCCTCTTGTCACTGTCAGTGGCCTTGGGATGTCTTCTGGGAGTGGGGCAGTGAGGTGGAACTCACATTCCAGGACAGAGGAGAGGGTGAGGAGCTTCCAGTGGTCGGGGTCCAGCTCACGGGTCACTTGGCAGTCATGTCTTCCTGACGGCTCCCCCCAACAGTCCTACCTGCAGAGCCCAAGACATCCCGAGGATACCTCAGGGCTGTTCCAGGGTGTTTGGACAGTTTGGGTCTATCTGTCTCCAAACTGTCCAGGTCTGCTGGGGTTGGCTGGATGATATCCAGTAGGGGCCGGTTCTGTTGGGAGTGTTTGCTGCAGGTGCCTGTCCCTGGGCCATCATTTGAGGCCATAGTAGTAGGATTGGTTTAATGCTTTCTTTTATTCGTTCAACAAATATTTATTGAAAACTGCCTGTGCCACCCATGATTCAAGGAACAAAACAGAAAGATTCTGCTATCATGGAGATTAGATTATGGCAAGGCGGAGACAAACAGGGAGGTGATGCAGGGTGTTAGAGGGTAGCAATCTGTGGCACGAGGCAGAATGGAAGCAGGGGAGGGAGACTGTGAATGCGGTGGGTGGCGAGCTGATTGCAGTAGTAGGGAGAAGTAAGGAAGTGAGAGCTGAGTGAAAACTTGAAGGAACGAGGGAGGGAGACTTGCTGTCATCTGAGCAGAGCCAGCAAAGGCCCTGTGTGGGGAACACACCTGGGGTGGTGCTGATTTCACGCTTGTCAAGTACTCCTGACACCCCTGGAATGGTGGGATTGAATACTTGTCCCATAAAGGAATGCATAAGTACAGGGGTGACTTCCCTTGGTCACTGTGAGGCTCCCTGCTTCAAAAGGGGGGAGGGCTTTTTTTTTTTTTTAAGATTTATTTACCTGTTTTTTAGAGAGAGTGTGTGGGAATGGGGGTAGGGGTAGAGGGACAGAGAGAATCTCAAGCAGACTCCATGCTGAGCCCGGAGTCTGATCCAGGGCTCTATCCCAGGACCCCAGATCATGACCTGAGCCCACTGAGCCACCAGGTGCCCCATGGTGAGGGAGTTCTAGGGAGAACTAAGTGAAGCCACCCTGGTCTTGACCTACCCCTCCCCATGAAGAGGTAGAAAGAATTCTCTCCAGGCCCAGGCCAAGTAAGGCTGGACTGAGCCACATTTTGCCAAGGAGGCCAGACTTCTTGTTACCTGGAGGAAGGTGTTACTACACTGACCCTGCTGTTTTTTAAGACTTTATTTATTTATTTGATAGAGACAGAGAGACAGCAAGAGAGGGAACACAAGCAGGGGGGAGTGGAAGAGGGAGAAGCAGGCTTCCTGTGGAGTAGGGAGCCCAATGCAGGGTTTGAAATCAAGACCCCAGGGATCACAACCTGAGCCCAAGGCAGACACTTAGGACTGAACCATCCAGGCACCCCAGCCCTGCTGTTTCTAACCTCCTCTCTGCTCTGCGATGTGGGGCCACGTAAGGTTCGGAGCCACCTGTCCTTTTGTGCACACAGTGACCGTCCCATAGACTCAGGAAACAAATGACATTTGCCTGGTCTCCTCTTTTTCAGATGCAATGACCAAGGCTGAGGACAGAGAGCTGGTGTTGAGAAAAGACTGTCCTAAGACAGTGGCGTCCCATGGGGAAATATTTTACGGACAGACTTTGGAGGAATCCCCCCGGGATCCCCAACATGGAGAACCCGGTGACCCTGCGGGTTGGGAAGCGGGGCGCTGGGGCGGCCTCCAAGAGGAGCGACGGCACAAGTGTGACGCGTGTGGGAAGAGCTTTGCCCAGAGCGCAGGCCTTGTGCGCCATCGGAGGATCCACACCGGGGAGAGGCCGTACGAGTGTAAGGAGTGTGGGAAGACCTTCAGTCGGAGCTCGGGTCTCTTCAACCACCGAGGGATCCACAACGTACAGAAGCGGTACCGCTGCTCGGAGTGCGGCAAGGCCTTCAGCCAGAGCGCGGGTCTCATCCAGCACCAGCGGACCCACAGGGCAGAGAGGCCCCATCAGTGCGGCCAGTGCGGGAAGAGCTACGGTCGGCGCTCGTTCCTCATCGAGCACCAGAGGAGCCACACGGGCGAGCGGCCTCACCGGTGCACCCAGTGCGGGAAGAGCTTCAACCGCCGCTGCAACCTCAGCCGCCATCACAAGACGCACGCGGCGGCCGCGCGGGTCTAGTCGTCGCTGGCGGCGGGCCTTCCCGATCGCGGGCCACGTTCGCGTGCCGCTGCGTTTCCAGCAAGTACTGGCCTGCGGGCTGCGCACACCCGAAGAGGGAGGTGCGGTGTCTGGAGCTGCTGCTTTCCCTCGGGCTCCTTCACCCGCTCCCGGGCCGCCCTGCCCGCACCGCCCCATAGGTCCCGGCTTCGAGAGCGCGGCCGCACCTTCCCGGGCGCGTGCTAAGTCGCGCGGCCGGGCCGCAGGCCTGAGGGTCTGTGTGGGTCGGAGCTCCTGGCGAGCGCACAGAGCCCTGCTGATGGGCTACCGTAAACCGGCCCGCGGCGTCCCCGTCACCTGCGCGGCCTGTCTCCGCCCGCGCGGGTCGCCGTTGCTTCCGGTTCCGGGAGCGCCGCCCGCGGGGAAGCGGCACCGTCCTCGTCCCGCGGGCCGGCGAGGGAGACGCGGGGACTCGCCTTGGCGCCTGGACTTCTGTCTTGGAACCGTGGGAGCTCACGGAAGACCGAGTTTCCATGCGCTCTCCATGCCGCACCCGCGTGTTCCGCTAGAGCCTGCCTCGGGCTTCACTCCCCGGCGTTTACGGTGCCGCCCGGCTTCCCAGGGTCGCCCGGCTGTGTCCGCGGAGCGCGGTCACCCGACAGGCCCTCTGCTTGCCCCTCACGTCCGCGCCTTGCAGGCCGTCTGTGTCCCGAGTCCAAGGCCGCCCGCGGAGTTGGGTCACCAGCCACATAAGGTGCTTGTGCTTTATTTATTTATTTATTTTCTAAAATGTTTTATTTGACCTGAGCCCAAGGCAGCTGCTTAACCGATTGAGCCACCCAGGTTCCCAACACCCCTTCTTGAACCGAGTCCGCCTCTCCTTTTCCTCCTTTCTCTACTGAGTGGTGGCCCAGGAAGTCGTCACTCCTGGTGGCCAGGGGAGGGGAGCGCTGGCTGGGCGTGGGGCAGGGCGCAGGAGCACGGACAGCTCTCATCGTACTCCAAGAGGTGACATTATTACTAAATTTGAATGTGATCTATAACAAGGCAAAAGGAGGGTTGGACAGCAGTGAGAGACTGCCTAAGTTAAAATGCTTGTGGGACTTTTTCTTTTACCTCCATTAAAAAAAAAAAGTATATTATACACTGCTGTCATGTGGGCTTTAGAAATAAATTAATACTTGCATCAGAGCAAGAGAGAAAAAAGTAAGTTAATATTAAAAAATGAAGATGTGTCCTGAGTAGAATTCGCTGAACTGAGCATTTAGTTCACATGTAACATAAATTTGCCCTGCAACAGTCTTTTTACCAAATTGGTGTAGGAGTTCTCCCCTCCCAGCGTCTCCCCAACACACACTGAAGACCCATCCCCCTGCCCCCGGGGACCTGGTGGGCTGGTGCTGGCCAGGCAGGAGGCTCACATGGCAGCCAGGTATCCACAGTCCTGGAGACTCGGAGGTATGCTTCAGGGCACCAGCTCAGGCTTAGGTGACTGCACCTTCCTTTGTGCTCACAGCACCTCTCTTGTGTGCCTGGGGGAGGGAGGGGGAGAGAGAGAGACGGACAGACAAACTGAGGCTCAGAGACAGAGAGAGGCAGACAGACAAAGAGAGCAAGCTTCTTAAAAGGGCACTAATCGCACCCTTATGACCTCATCTGACCCTAATTACCTCCCAAAGTCCCCATGTCCAAATACCATCACATTGTGGAGTTAATTTTAACGTATGTCTGTAAGAGGGGGCACACAAATATTCAGTCCATAACACAGCCCCACCGCCTCCAGTGGCTGCTCTCAACACATCACGTTTCTTAGCTCTGCCTGAGAACTACACATACCTGTATATCTATATAATCCTGTTACTGTGAATAAGGAGTTTTATATCTTCGTTTGCTGTTTTCTCTAATTGTGATGCACGAGCCAGTGTCTCCAGCACAGTGTGGAACAGGAGTCATACTATTAGTCATCCTTATCTTATTCCTAATTTTGAATGGATGTATCTAATGATTTGGCAAAAAATAATATTTTCTTTGTGTTTCTGATAAATATTCTCATAACATTAAGAATATTCCCTCCTCAACAAAAAAGAATATTCCCTCCTCATTTGTAAGAATTCTTTATCATGAAAAATTTCTTTTAGAGAATATTAGCCTAGTGTTTCTTTCCCATCCTCTACTTCTATTTTTTTATTTTTTTAAGATTTTGTTTATTTATTTGTCAGAGAGAGAGAGCACGAGCAGGCAGAGTGGCAGGCAGAGGCAGAGAGAGAAGCAGACTCCTCGCTGAGCAAGGAGCCAGATGCGGGACTCAATCCCAGGTCCCTGGGATCATGACCTGAGTTGAAGGTAGCCGCTTAACCAACTGAGCCACCCAGGCATCCCCCATCCTCTATTTTTAAATAAAATTATTTCCTTTTTGGAAATAATAAAATCTGAAATTTTGTTCAGAATTGGGTTATAATCCTTGGTATGATTCTTCACATACACTCATCATTGATCCATTAATACCATGCTTTTATTAATTTGATAGGTAGTTAGGTAGTTAATTCAGTACCTAGCACTCATTAATGTGTCATTATTAACACAAACAAAAGATCTTGAAAAACACCTGTATGGCCAGTCACTCAGCATCCCTCATCTTTGTCACCCAAATATCCCAGTTAAAGGACATTATCTTGAATCCTGATTTTATAATTTCTTGCTTTGCAATTTATATACTTTTATTGCACAGATTTGCATTCCTAAGAACTAGAATTTTTAATTGATTTTAATGACTTTATAAAATTTCCTTTTTTAAAAAAAGATTTTATTTATTTATTTGGCAGAGAGAGACACAGCAAGAGAGGGAACATAAGCAGGGGGAGTGGGAGAGGCAAAAGCAGGCTCCCCACTGAGCAGGGAGCCGGGAACCTGATGCAGGGCCTGATACCAGGACCCTGGATCATGACCTGAGTTGAAAGCAGATGCTTAACAACTGAGCCACCCAGGTGCCCCAACTCTTTATAAAATTTCTTATGTTTAATATTGTCTTTTAACTCATCAATTTAATCCAGTTGTGTTTATTATGATTATCAGTTTATTGCTACCACCCAATTTTGCCTTTCCTTTTTCCATGATCTTTCTTTAATTTTTTCTCTGTTCTGTTTTATGTTGGTTAATTTATATTTTCTTCTCTTTCTCCCATTTACATGTTTGAAAATTATATATTTTTGGTCTTTCTTTTTAGTGGTGACACATAAAATTTCAGTATGCCCACCTGATTTATGAGGTTATGAAACTAATCTCTGTGTGTGCCCTTCTGTGTGATATTGCACAAAACCTGAATGCCTCCCAGGAGCTGCAACTGTTGACTAGTATGTTAGTTACACTTGACCTCAAGTTGACCTTGTCATTACAATTATTATTACTGGGTTTTTATAATCAGTGACTAATTAGATTTTCACATTATGTGTTCTAACGCATTGGTTTTACTCACTGAGGCTTTCTTGAAGATTTGGCAATGGCGAGTTCCCTTGGGCTTTGTGTGAACATGTTTTCATTTACTCTCTCCCTTGAGTGTTGGTTTCCATGTATTTGCAGTGAAAGAGCCCTCCTGAACTGTCTGCTTGGAGCACTGACAGTACTGTTCTTTCGACACTTTGAAGTGCTTCTTCCAACTTGAGATTTAGGTCTTCCATCAATTCCTGCAATTCTCAGTCAGCCTCTCCCCCAGAGTTCTCTTGGCTCTCCTGTTACTCGTGGGGATTGGGCTCTCTCACGCTGTCGGCCGGGTCTCTTACTCCCATTGTGTTTTGCTGATTGTCATCTCTCTCTGATCTATGTCTTCAGATCAGCCTTACAGTTTACTTATTCTCCATGAACCATATTTAGTATGTTGTTTATTTCACGTAGATTTTCGTCTCAATGCCTATATATTTCATCTCCTGATGTTTTATTTGATTTTTTCAAATCAGTCTACTTTTCTCACTTTATATCCTATTTTTCCATTTATGGCTTCTAGGGGTCTAAAAAATAGTTAAATGTTCTAAATGCATCTTACCATTTCCTTCAGATCATTATGTATCTGAAGCTCTTAGTGAGCCAACTCTGCTGCTCATTTCTGCAGACTTTTTCCAGGGTAAATGCTTACTCCTGTGGTCCGTTATTTTCTGCCACTGCTCATTCTCAAGACAGATTATTTTGTTTATCTGTGGAAGTGCCCTGTGTTCTAGGGCTTGGAAGTGTCACTATGGGGTTGTTCTTTTTTTTTTTTTTATGATTTTGTTTATTTATTTATTTGAGAGAGAGAGAGAATGAGCAAGGGGAGGGGAGAGACAGAGGGAGAGGGAGAAGCAGAACCCCCATGGAGCAGGGAGCCTGATGGGGGCTTGATCCCAGGACCCCAAGATCATGATCTGAGCCGTGAGCCAAAGGCAGAGGCTTTACAAACTGAGCCACCCAGGTGCCCCATTTGTTGTGGTTTTAACATATATCTACAAATTCCCTTACATTCCTGCCTTCCTAATGCAGAGTCTAATTCCATTCTCCTTGAGTGTCAGCTGAATTTATCCTCTCGTTCAGAGATTCCTTCCTCATCTGTGCCCAGTTTTCTATGGAGCCTATTAAAGGCACTCTTCAGTTTTATTACAGCGCTTTTCATGTCTAGTGCTGCTTTTTTGGTTCTTTCCTAAGATTTCCATCTGTCTGCTGACATTGCCAGTGCACCTTCTTGCACACTGTCTGCTTTCTCTGTTAGAGCCCTGAGCATATTTTTCACAGTTATTTTAAATTCATGGTCTGATAATTTCAGCATTCCTTCCATGTGTCATTCTGATGCTTGTGCCATGTTTTCAAATTGTGTTTTTTACCTTTTGTTATGTCTTGTCTTTTTTTTCTTGAGAGCCAGACACGATGTACTAAGTAGAAGGAAGTGCTTTAAAATAACCTTTAGCAATGTGGTGGCAAGGTGTGGGAAGCGGTCTATTATTATTTTATATTATTATTATTAACTAATTTATTTATTTGTCTTAGCACGTGCATAGGCAGGGTGGGGGAGAGTTGGGGGGAGGGGCAGAGAGAATCCCAAGCAGACTCTACAGCCAGCACAGAGCCTAAGTTGGAGCTCAGTTCCATAACCCTGAGAGCATGACCTGAGCCGAATCAAGAGTCGGCCACTTAACCAACTGAGCCACCCAGGTGCCCCAAAACTATTCTCTTACTAAAAACAAGACAGGGATGCCTGGGTGGCTCAGTTGTTTAAGCATCTCCCTTAGGCTCTGGTCATGATTTCAGGGTCCTGGGATTAAGCCCCGTGTGGGTCTCCCTACACAGCAGAGAATCTGCATCTCCCTCTACCTGCTCCTCCCCCTGCTTGTGCTTTCTCTCTCAAATAAATAAATAAAATCTTTAAAAAAACAAAAACGATAAGACAGCTGGCCCCAGATGCAGTCACCTATGCTAAGCCTCAAATCATCAGACTGAGATGTAACTTAAATACCATTTTGGCTCTCCTCGAACTGGAATCATAAGTAAACCAGTTGATCAGGAATCAGCTGGTCAGGGCTAGTTAGGGAATGTGCCTGGTAGGTGCCTGTCGCCGCTACAGGAACATGTCCCGGGAATGACCAACCCGCATTTTCTGCCCAGAGTAGCTTCCTTGTCCCCAGACCCTCTGCATTTAATATTCCGGTTTGCATGGCTCCTCTCCCTCTGATATACGGGGTGCTGCCTGATTCAGGAATTGCTGAATAAAGCCAGTAAGATCTTTAAAATTTACTCAGTTGAATTTTGCTCTCAGTGAACCTTTGTGTCTGGACTGAACTTCACAAGTGTTCCTTAGTGTCCTCTTGTCTTCAGTGGGACGTGGTGGCTGTGACCCATGATTCCCTTCTCTCACAAGGAAGGCTAGAGCGGGCCGAATTGGGGATTTGTCTTCCCCCAGGTCAGGGAGGATCTGATGGCCTAATCTGATCAGCAGGTTAGGCTTGGGTTACCTAGTCTCCCCTGAAAGCAGTCTCTATTAAAAAGAACAGGATGCTCTGGCATAGCTAAAAATGGTTCCCTTTCCTCTCCTCCAGCTGGAAGCACAAGGGCGTTTTTCTCTGCTGTTTCCTGTGGAAACCTGGTCAAGCTCCTAGAGGTAAAACTCACAGTATTGAGGGGGCCGCCCTGTGACTGGAGCTCCCTGGAGTTTTTTTAAACTCTCAGACTTGCCCACACGGAGCCTCCGGCTATGCCTCCATTCGTGTTCGGGCTTTCCTGCCCTCGCTTGGTGGTGCACAGTCACTACTCTTGAGCGTCTGCTTCCCACACCTTCCCTCCCTGGATTCATCGGTCTCTCCAGTCGTGGGTCCGCTGTTTGCCATGTCCTCCCCTCTCTCCTGCATGCAGAAGAGTTACTGATTTCTCGGTGTTGGGGACAGACTGGTAACTTGCACGCTCCTCACACGCAGAACCGGGAATCTGACACCGTGTGAGCTGTCACTTCTCCCAGCCAGACTGGGAGTGGGGTGTGACACACGAGGCTAGATCGTAGATCATGGAAGAACGGGGCGTCCAGCTGCCTCACAGGTCGTTCCCGGAGAGAAGCGAGCTGCCATGCCATCGCACTCAGTGAGCCCCGGGGGGGGCAGCCCCCGAAAGAACTGAGGCCTCCCACAGGCCGGCCATGCTAGCGAACCCTGTTGGAAGGAGGTCCTCCGGCCCTGGTCCAGGACAACAGCAGCCTGGGCTGAGCCTTGACTGGAACCTCGTGGAAGACCCTAGGCTAGAATTACCTACTTTCTGTATTCCTGAGTTCCTGAGCTACGGGAATTGTGAAAGATAATAAATATCATTTCAAGCCACTGAGTTTTGAAGTAGTATGTTACACAGAAATAGGTGGGGACACCTTGGCTCAGTCGGTAAGCGTCTGCTTTCGGATCAGGTCATGATCCTGGGGTCTTGGGATCGACTCCCACATTGGGCTTCCTGCTCAGCAGGGAGTCTGCTTCTCCCTCTCTCTGCCCTTCCCCACCACTCCTGCTTTCTCTCTCTCTCAAATAAATATAAGATCTTTAAGAAAGAGAAATAGCTAGCTCAGTACACCGCCTTACTGGTGGCCTGTGTCTAGGCACAGGATCTCTGAAGGTTTCTTTAGTGCCATTTCACAACCTTGCACAATACCTGCAGGTTCCCTCCTCACTTCTGGTGCTAGGGAATTTCCTGTTCTTTCTTTGGAGCTCAGCTGTTAAATTTTCATTTGTTATACTTTATTATTTACTTGTACCAGTTGGCCATGCTAACATATGATTTTCTGTAAAATTACAAATTACTAAAATTAACTTCAGAAAGCTCAGAAAATTTAAAGAGACTACATATTTCTTAGAATCAGGTTTGATTAACTATGATAAAACAGTCCAAGTAATAGTGGCTTAAATAAAACTTCATTTTTCTTTTTTATAAAAGAAGTATAGGGACAGATATGGCAGTTCCATTGTGTCATATAGGGAGATACACACACACACACACACACACACACTTTGTTTCCAGGGCTATAGTCTTATACGTTTCTGTTAAACCGCTGTGGTGTCTGCTGACATTTCTCAAGATCAACTTAAGATCCAGTGAGGCTGCTAGATCTCCAGCAGTCACATCTACAGTATAAGAGTAAAGGGGTAAGAAAAGCAGAATGAAAGAATTCTAGTACTAGCTGAGCCAACTTCCTGTAGGCCCTTTGCTGAGAGCCCCACAGCACTTCCACATGTGCCCCATTGACTGGAACGTAGTCTCAAGGCCACGGCGAGCTGCTTGGGAGGCTGCAAAACATTGTCCTGTATTCCAGTTAGAATCAGGATTATAGCTCTGAAGAGGAAAAGGAAAATGGATGTTGGGTGGACAGTGAGAAATCTCTGCTACAGATGGAGAAGAAACAGAAAAATTGTCAAAGTTCTAGTCCTAAGACAGCACCAGGTTCATTGAATTTCACAGTAAAACCTATAAAAACTTTTCTGGAGCATAGAGAAAAAAGGAAATTATTCCAAGTAGGGTTTTCCCCCCTAGTTTTGTTGAGAAATAATTGACATACATCACTGTATACATTTAAGCCAAGTTCTTTTATAAAGTAAATATTACATCAATATTAAGACCTGTCAAAACTAGCATAGAAAAAACTAACCATCAAATTTACTTATAAATATTAATTCAAAAATCTCACATAAATACTCGCCCAAAAGTTCCATAGCACTTAGCACATAGCACAGGAAGGATGGACTATGACTGATGAACATTTAATACCCATTATTAAGCTAGGAATGAATAATTAAAAATTAAATCTTAAAAATAACTTCTGAATTGGCAGCATGAGGAGCTCCTTGGACCCACTCAGAGTGAAACAGTCATAACTGGTGAACACTACCACTTACAAGCTCTGGAAATTGTCTTAAGAGCAAACAGCAAATAAGGAAACATTTGTTCAAGAAAATCTACTAAATTTTGGTACGAACACAATCTGTAGCACTTGTGCCATGAGCTACTTCCTGTCCTATCCGCATCCACACTGAATCAGCATGAGGGAAGCTCCAGTCTGGGTGGGTATGTCCAACAAGATGGGGCTCCCAGTTCCCCAGGCTCAAGCAAAGCCTAAGGTACCCCCCAAAAGGCACAAGGCACCAACATTTTTTAAATCCCTCCAAAGCTCTCTTTTTCAGAGACTAAATTCCGGGCAAGAATGACCAGGAAGTCAAGAGCTCCTCCCTGCACCCAGCCCCTGCTCACAGGGCAGAGGCTCCACTTCGGAGATGGCCAGCTAAGAAAACTGAGCCCCAAAAGCCCTCACCCAAGCTCACTCATAGGTCAGAGGTTCTGTGCTGGGAAGACTAGAGGCTACTGCTCGGCCCAGAACCGTAATCATAATGCGGAAGTGTCACTGAGAGAAGTAGGTAACTGTCCCTGTCCTCAGCTCTGGAGCAGTGACCCATATTTCGCCCTGGTGAAGGGGTGGTCTAAGAGCAGAGTGCTTTGAGGCTCTCCCCAATGGAACTGGCTATACCTGGAACAGATTATGGGAAAGATCAAGCCTAAAGTTACTCTGAAACAGTGCAGGCAATTTAAAGGAAGCTAATGACTCCGTGAAAGCTGAGTAACAAATCTTGGGCTGGCTAGTTTACCAAGGAGAGCCAGGGAAAAAGACAAGAAGAGTCTTCCTGGGGTCAGAAAGAAACCTCTACATATTGCCCCCCAAAACTATCCTTGCAGAGGGATTTAAATTTAATTGTATCATACTTGAATATTGTATGGCATAAGGTATTGTTGAAAACAGTAGAGAAATCATCCACCGATTAATGATGCCTAACTGCTGGATGTGATACTTACAGAGACAGGTTCCTAAGCAAAGGGCCTGGGGAGAGAGCCGTTCTAAACCATGCTCTTACCGTATCCCAGTATGTATATTTACACCATAATTTCTTACCTTCTTATCCATCCATGAACACTTAGCTTGTTTCCATATCTTGCTATCGTAAATAATGCTGCGGTGAATGTGAAGTGCATATATCTTTTTGAGTAGTGTTTTGTTTTTGTTTTTGTTTGTTGTTTGTTTTGTTGGTGGTGGTTGTTTTGATAAATAGAAGTGGAATTGTTGCATCATAGGGTAGTTCCATTTTAATTTTTTGAGGAACCTCCATACTGTTTCCGTGGCTGCACCAAATTTACATTCCCACACACTGTGCACGAGGATTCCCTTTTCTCCACATCCTTGCCAACATTTGTTATATCTTGTGTCTTTTTTGATAATATCCATTCTAACAGGTGTGAGGGGATATCCTGTTATGGTTTTGATTTGCATTTCCCTGATAATTAATAATGTGAGCATCTTTTCATGTGTCTGTTGGCCATCTGTAAGTCTCCTTTGGAAAAATGTCTATTTGGATCTTTTGCCCATTTTTTAGTAGTTGGATTGTTCGTTTTGTTTGTTTTGTTTTGCTATCGAGTAGTATGAATTCTTTATGTATTTCAGATATTAGACATTTATCAGATAATGTGATTTGCAAATATATCTTCCCATTCCATAGGTTGCCTTTTCATTTTGTTAATGGTTTCCTTTGGTGTGCAGCTTTTTAGTTTGATGCAAATCCACTTGTTTACTTTGGCTTTTGTTTTTGGTGTCAGATTCAAAAAATCACTGCCAAGACCTACACCAAAGAGCTTACTGCCTATGTTTTCTTTTAGGAGTTTTGTTTCAGGTCCTACATTCAAGTCTAGTCCATTTTGAGTTGACTTTTGTAGGTGGCAAAAGATAGTGGTCCAGATTCATTATTTTGCATGTGACTGTCCAATTTTCCCAACACCATTTATCTAAGAGACTGTCCTTTTCCCATTGTATATTCTTGGCTCCTTTGTCATAAATTAATTGACCATATATGGGTAGGCTTATTTCTGGGCTGTCTATATTGTTTCATTCATCTATGTGCCTGTTGTTATGCCAATGCCATACTCTTAATTATAATAATTGTGTAATATAGTTCGAAATCAGGGAACATGATAACTCCAGCTTTGTTCTTAATTTTAAAACTGCTTTGGCTACTCAGGGTCTTTTATGGTTCCATACAAATTTTTTTAAATTGTTTGTTCTATTTCTGTGAAAAATGCCATTAGAATTACATTTTTTTATCTAAATAAGGAGAATTCTTTCAGATTAAAAAAACCCTATATTTGAAAGGACAAACATTAGGCACTGATCCTGAGGGAAAGAGCAAAGGGCGAATGTGCCACCATGGCATGCTGAATCCATGATTGCATTTCCCATCCAAGGCAAAAGCTTCCCAAATCTTTGGAATTTTAATAGGAATTTCATTGAATCTGTAGATTGCTTCAGGTAGTATGGACATTTTAACAATATTAATCCTTCCAGTTCATGAACATTGACTGTCTTTCCATTTATTTGTCTTCCTTTTCTTTCATTAATGTTCTTATAATTTTCAATATATGGATCTGTTACCTCCTTAGTTAAATTTATTTCTGGGCATGTAAATCTTTTTGGTGTAATTGTAAGTGGGATTATTTTCTTATTTTCTCTGATAATTCATTATTAGTATATAGGAACAACAAATTTTTGTGTATTGATGTTGTATCCTATAACTTTACGGAATTTATTTAGTGGCTCAAACTGTGTATGTGTCTAGAATATTCTTTTCAAAAGATTTTATTTATTTATTTGTCTAAGAGATAGCACAAGCAGGGGGAGCAGCAGGCAGGAGGAGAAGCAGGCTCCCTGCCAAGCGAGGAGCCCAATGCAGGACTTGGTCCCAGGACCCTGGGATCATGACCTGAGTCAAAGGCAGATGCTTAACTAACTGAGCCACCCAGGAATTCCACATTTTCTACATATAATATCATGTCATCTGCAAATATGACAGTTTCACTTCTTCCTTTCCAATTTGGGTACCTTTTTATTTCTTTTTCTTGCCTAATTGCTCTGGCTAGAACTTTCAATACTTTGTTGAATAAAAGTGGTGAGTGGGCAGCTGTCTGTTCCTGATCTTAGAGGGAAAGTTTTCAGCTTTTCACTTTTGATGTTAGCTGTGGGCTTGTCATATATGGCCTTCATTATGTTATATTCCTTCTATACCCACCTTGTTGAGAGTTTTTATCATAAATGATGTTAAATTTTGTCAAATGCTTTTTCTTCATCGATTGAGATGATATACAATCTTTCTCCTTCATTTTGTGAATGTGGTGTATCACATTGACTGATTTGCGGAAGTCGAACCATCCTGGCATCCCTGTAATAAATGCCACTTGATCATGTGTATGATTATTTTACTGTATTGTTGAGTGTTGCTAATATTTTGAGGATTTTTGCCTCTATATTCAATAGGACTATTGGCCTGTAATTTTCTTTTCTTGTGTCATCCTTGTCTGATTTTGATACCAGGGTAATGATGGCCTCATAAAAGGAGTGTGAAATTCCTTCCTCTTCTCTTTTTTATAAAAATTTGAAAAAGATCAATATTCTTTGAATATTTGGTAGAATTCTCTAGTGAAGCTGTCTAGTCTTGGGACTTTTTTGTTGCTGTTTGGACATTTTGCTTATTGATTAAATCTCCTTCCTAGTTAACTGTTTTGTTCAGACTTTCTATTTCATCATGATTCAGTCTTGGTAGGTTGTATGTTTCTAGGAATTTACCTATTTCTTCTAGGTTGTCCAAGCTATTGGCCTATAATTGTTCATTGTAGTCTCTTATGATCTCTGGTATTTCTGTGGTATCAGTTCTATCATCTCTTTCCTTTCTGATTTTTTATTCAAGTCCTCTTTTTTTCTTGGTGATTCTAGCTAGAGGTTTGTTAATTTTTTCCTTTCAAAGAACCAGTTTTTAGTTTCATTAATCTTTTCTTTTTAGTCTCTATTTCATTTATTTCTGCCATAATCTCATTTTCTTCCTTCTGCTAACTTTGGCCTTCATTTGTTCTTCTTTTTCTAGTTTCTTAATGTGTAGATTGAGACTTCTTCTTTTTCAAGATAGACATTTATCACTATGAACTTCTTACAACTGCTTTTGCTGCATCCCATATGGTATATTACATTCCCATTTTCATTTGTCTCAAGGTATTTTTTTGATATCTCCTTTGGCCTATTAGTTGTTCAGTAGCATGTTATTTAATCTCCACATATTTGTGAATTTTTAAGTTTTCTTTGTGTAATTAATTTCATACCAGTGTGGTTAGAAGACACTCACATGATTCAGTAATTTTGAATTTATTAAGACTTGTTTTGTGACATGATATGATGAGCACTGGGTGTTATACACAAATAATGAATCATTGAACTAAAGATGGCACCTGCGTGGCTCAGTGGGTTAAAGCCATCTGCCTTCGGCTCAGGTCATGATCCCAGGGTGTTGGGATCAAGGCCGACATCAGGCTCTCTACTCAGCAGGGAGCTGGTTTCCCTCCTCTCTCTCTGCCTGCCTCTCTGCCTACTTGTGATCTCTCTCTGTCAAATAGATAAAATCTTTAAAAAAAAACTAAAGATGTACTATGCGTTGGCTAATTTAATTTTTAATTAAAAAAAAAAGACTTGTTTTGTAACATAACATATGATGTATCTTGGGAAATGTTCCATGTACTCCTGAGGAAAATGTGTATTCTGTTGCCTTAGGCTGGAATGTTCTATAAATATCTGTTGTCTATCTGGTCTCATATATCATGTAAGGCCAATGTTTCCTTATTTTCTGTCTGGATAATCTATCCATCAATGGAAGGCCCTACTACGGTTGTATTGCTGTCTATTTCTCTTTTTATTCCTTTTTTAAAAATTTATTTAAATTTTGGTTAACATATAGTGCAATATTGGTTTCTGGTTAGTTCTCCTTTTATTTGTTTAATATTTGCTTTATATTACTTAAGTGCTCCTAAGTTGGGTGCATAAATATTTACAAATGTTATATCTTCTTGTTGGAGTGACCCCTTTATCATTATGTCATGCCCTTCTTTGTCTCTTATTAGTCTTTGTTTTAAAGTCAATTTCATCTGATTAAAGTATAGCTACTCCAGCTTTCTTTTGGTTTCCATTTGCATGGAGTATCTTTTCTATCCCTTACTTTCAGTCTTGTGTGTCCTCATATCTATAATGACTCTTTTGTAGGCAGCATATAGATAGGTCTTGTCTTTTTATCCATTCAGCCACTCTTTTATTGGAGAATTAAGTCCATTTATATTTAAGGTAATTATTGATAGGTAACTGCTTATCGAAATTGTTGTCTGGCTGTTTTTGCAGTTCCTCTCTGTTCCCTTCTTCTCTTGCAGTCACAAAAACTGGGGCACCAGACTGGGTATGAGCTCCTTTTGGGGGTGACACCAAATATTACAGTCCCATGAGACCAGGAATGTAAGTTCCCCTGGCCTCCAGAGCCAGATGATCCAGAGGCATCCCCGGGTTGACAGCCACAAAAATGGAACACCAGAGGTACGTAAAAGCTCGTTTCTGAGATATGCTGGTGCTCTGGAGCATGGTAAAGAGAGACTGCAAAGATGATACCTGCCAATTTACTCTTTGGAATGTTCCAGCAGGCTCCTACATATATATTCAGTTAGATTTGCTCCTCGGGCCAATGTTTTAATAGAAGGTCAGCCTCCTTCACCTTCAATCTAAGTGCTATCAGCTGCCTCTGAGCCCTGTAAGAGCGGCTTCTCAGATCACTTCAGTCTTGTGGGTCTTGGGACACAGGTCCCGTTGGTTTTCAGGCATATGTTTCAGGGAGCTGTCTCTCAAGTTTGTGTCTTAAAAGTTGGTATACCTGATGTGGGTTTGAACACATTGCTCCACAGGGAGAAGCTCCAGGTTTGAGTTCTGTTCCAGCTGTGCCAGGGGTGGGCTTTATTGGGAAATTGTGTTTCAACTCTTTTACACGCTTCAATGTGGTTTTCTTCTTGGTTGCCAGGTGTGTAGCTGTCACTCAGTCATCCTTTGTTTTTTTAAGAAGAGATTGTTCCATTCATTGTAGCTTGACTCAGTAGGTCTGTGGGAGGAGGCAAGTTCAGGGTCTCCTATGGTGCCACTTTGAACTAGAACTTCCCAGCACTTGTTTGTGTAAGTGGTCCTCTCAATCCTGTGGGTAATCTGTCCCCCTCTTTTTCTTTCTAAAGGAGAAAACAAAGTGTTTCATAGGGTTACCTACTTCACCAAAATTAAGAATATATCTAGGAGATCTAGTCCTCAAAATCTCCTTTCCTAGTAACTCTTCATTCTACCCAAGTGGAAAAAATGTTGTAACCAGCTACTTAGTCATGCAAAGGGAGAAAACATAAAATGGAGGATTTCTGCTCTGCAGCAGTTGGAGAAATGAAATAGAATGCCTGACTAATCAACATTAAAATTCAAAAAACAATTTTAAACAGCACAAAAAGTGGCATTTTATTCTACTTTAAATACTGGTCATATCTTTAAAAAAAATTTTTTTAAAGATTTTATTTATTTGACAGAGAGCACAAGTAGGCAGAGCAGCAGGCAGAGGGAGAGGGAGAAGCAGGCTCTCTCTCCACTGAGCCAGGAGCCCAATGCGGGGCTCGATCTCAGGGCCCTGGGACCATGACCTGAGCTGAACCCCTCAACCAACTGAGCCACCCAGGTGCCCCAAATACTGGTCATATCTTAACTAAGCAGCTTATTTTACTCAATTTAATTTTATCTGGAAATAATTTTTTGGCTGCCCTATTAAATAGACTAGGTTTGAAGCCATTTTATAATTTACTTCATAAACATACGTTTGTTTTATACAAAAGCAAGGTGTCCAAGACTACCAACAAAGTAACTTTTTAAGTTGAAATTACATAATACTGTTAGATAATACTTTGATCATGTAATTGGCTCCCTAGTACTTAGTAAAATTTAAACTCCTTACTCTGGCACTGAAGACCCCTACTATGTGCCTATTTCGCATTTGCCTTAGTTACTAAATCTGACAAACTCTTTGTAATTCCAGCTCTTTCACACATGACCGTATCCATGTGCTGACAGCTGACAGCCAGAAATACCCTTTTCCTGCGATTCTGTACCCTTCAGCTCACCATTCCCAAGGCATTTCTCATGGCATGCCAATTTATGTGCGTGCCTTACCGACTTCAGCACACTAAAACCCTAAGCCCAAGCATGTATGTGTGTATGTATATGCTTTATCTTTCATTATCAGACATAACAGGCACTGGAAGTATTTTTCTACAGTATTCCCTCCTCTACGGAGAAGCGTCTAAGGCTGGGAAGGAGCAGAAAGTGAAGGAAGCACAGCGGTCCCATTAATCCCAGCAAGTTACATGTATATAATGGTTTCTGGTTTATAAAAAGCTTTCACATACATTTCTCCCCATGACATTAAAAAAAAAACAAAGAAATATGAACAGTGTTTAAGATCAAGGCTGTTCGCTAACATTTAGGAATAGAGAAAAGAAAATTGCTAGCTTTATGGAAGTAACAAAAGATTAAGGAAATTTTAGACGGCTAAAAAAGATTACATTTTAGAAGGCTAAAAAGGTGGAGAAAGCTGGTAAAAGTTTGGAAAACTTAAGTTTTAAATTACACCGCACTGAGGGGCAATGAAGACAATGAGACTGCGAGAAAGTGGGAAGAGGGAAAGCCCCCGAGTCTACCAGGTCTCTCGTCAGCCTGTGCTGCTTCAGAGTGGGAACCTAGAAAGGGTACTTGACAGCACAGGGACCACCCTGCTGGTGACCGAACAAAACATGGTCCTGAGATCCACAAGAAATGGAATCCATTCTTGGCATAGCCTGGAAAGCTGGAAGCTGATGACATCAAGAAGACGCCAGTCTTTAAAGAACTCAGTTGGTGATTTGCGTGAAAACAAAAGGTATCACAAAAGTCTTTTTGTGGCTTCACAGGTTGATACTTTGGATATTGTGGAGTAGGAGTCCAGTATAATTCTGAACGGATACATTTTCTCCTACTGTCCATACTTGGGCTCCCATCCTCACTGGCTGCCTCTGACTATCTTCTTACCCCGACCCAGCGAACAGACTAGTTCTGAAAACATGAATGAAGCCTGTTCAGCAGTATCTGGTGTGAATCCTCTCGCCTGGAGGAAATTTAGGCCTTGCTAACGTAAGCTGCGATTCAAGTTGGCTCAAACATGGGAGAGAGAGATACAGGTGGTGTCTTGGCAATTTGTTAGGCCCAAGATAACTAAAAGGTGAGAAACAAGCTATTGAACATCACAGAAATTATATCAAAATTCATAATCAGTTGGATCTGACTTGATCAATCCACTTTTTATTTACCTGTGAAAGGTTTCCTCCTAAAAAGTAGCAAAATTAATGTGAACAAAATGGAGTTACATGGATGGAGCAGTCTCACCGCGTCTGAATGATCAGCTGCTTAAGGCATTCGTCTACAAGTACTAAGCTGGTGAAGAAAACGGATTCCCCGACCCCAACTCTGACAGTCCTGTGTGTGTGGCAGTAAATGCACAACTGACCCAGGATCTAGAACCTCAGAGAATCCGACACAAACATAAGTGGCCTTAGTTAGAAAGACCTCAGAAATCCAGACCACATTAGATTTTCAGAGCTATGGACGTCACCTCACTGGTATATTTAATGTTTATAAGCACCTGTACGCAAGGCACAGCGGGGAGTGTAAGAAGTCATGGATCTGACCAAATGATGGAGGATTCTTCATAGGCAAAATGGTCAGAGCAGCAGCCCTCATCAGAGCCGTCTGCACAGGAGACATCATAAAGTGCTGGCCGGAGGTGCTTAGCCAGTCTGGAAGCCCATTTCAGTCCAGTAGGTGAGAATAAATGTTTCAGGTCTTACCCCTTCCAGACTACTCTCCCGTAGCCTCCTATCAAACAAGCTGTTCCTCAGCCACCTTCTAGGATGTAGAGGAGAATCCATCTCAGCCAGACTCTGCATTTTCTGCCACAAGATGACGGGAAGTGGTCAGTCAAGCCCAGCCCAGTGTCTGTGATCAGGAAGGGCTGGCGAAGGCTTCGGTTCAATGAGGAATGAGCACCAACTCTGCCGTGTACAACATGGTCACTGTGATGGAACTTTTTTCCCGACGTGGCTTCTCCGATGTTGGACAAGGTATGAAGTTCGGGTAAAGCCTTTTCCACATGTGTCGCACTGATAGGGTTTCTCACCAGTGTGGATTTTTTGGTGTTCAATAAGGCTTCTGTTGCAGGTGAAACTTCTCTCACACTCATGACATTTGTAAGACACAGGAGCCTCGACATTTTCCCACTGGCCTCCCACCCTCCCCCGACTCTCCCAGGTCTCTGCACGTTCGGGATCCTGTACGTTCCTGTCACCGTGGATCCTCTGGTGTCTCAGGAGGTGTGAATTCCGCCTAAAAGCTTTGCCGCACATGCTGCACTGGTACGGCTTCTCCCCCGTGTGGATTTTGTGATGTTCCAGGAGGCTGCAGCTCTGGCTGAAGGTCTTCCCGCAGTCCTCGCACTCGTAGGGCTTCTCCCCTGTGTGGGTTCTCTGGTGTTTGATAAGGTTTGAGCTGTGACTGAAGACCTTGCCACATTCGTCACACTCATACGGTTTCTCACCAGTGTGGACTCTCTGATGGATGACAAGGGCAGAGCTCCCGATGAAGGTCTTGCCACAGTCTTCACATTCGTAGGGTTTCTCTCCAGTGTGGATTCTCCTGTGCTTAGTCAGGCCCGAACTCTGAGCAAAACTCTTTCCACATTCATGACAATAGTGCCGCCTACTTCCTGTGTCATTTTTCTGCTTTCTTGGTAACCTGCCCTCCTGTTCACCAGCTTCCGTGTGGGCGGGAACCTGGGCAGTGTCTTCACCCACGGGGCACGGCATTTCCCCAGTCTCTTGCCCTGGATGTTGCTCATCTGGGCGCAGGTCCGCGATCTCAGCCTGCATGGCACCACCTGAAAGAACGAGCGGTCAGACCGGTCAGTTATGCCCTGCCGCGGAGTTCCCCAGAGGCCAGGATGAGGATTCCATGCAAGGATGAGGATGGGAGTAAAGGAGGATGACGGATGCTGGGGGGAGACCAGAGAACAGGCGTGGGGCCGTCAGAAGCAGGGCGCCCCCTGGGAGGTGGGGAAGGTGGTGAGGACTGTGCCGGGGACACACGCAGAGGCTCCAAGTCCTAAGGATGGAGGCAGGACCCTGACTGGGGCTGGATGCTCAGAGAGCTGGGCGGAAGGCAGCGGAAGGAAGCAGGCAAATGTAAGGACTTAATGAAACATTCTGTAAGAAACGGGGCAAGCGGGAACCAAGAAACTGATCCGCAGTCAGGGATACGAGCGGTCACTCTGACCCCAGACAGGGACCAGCTTCGCTGCTGACAGAGCTGAGCTGGCACTGCCACTGCACACCACAGAGCCGTGAGCTCTGACGAGTCCGGCTGTTGCCCTGTGTCCTGATCTCTA